TAGAAAAAATCTACTTAACTGTATATTCTAAACTTTGAAAAATAAATTTTACTGTTTTTAGGAAATAAAACTATTTTTTCGGATCTGAATCGCGTATTTGTGTTTTTGCAAACAAACCAACGTTAAAAAATAGTATTATTCCTATGTAACAATCGTGAAAACCTACTCGATATTATTGTTTGTTATTTAGAAAAAAATTGTCAAATGTTGACCACAATATCGAAGATACGTCTTGTATATCGACTGCGGGAGGGATATGGTTTTCAAATGTATGCATGTCCATTTCTTTTTCACGCTGTACAGCCTAAACGGCTTCACAGATTTTGACATATGAGGTGTCATTAGATTCGTCTTGATTGTGGGAAAGTCTATACGCTGCTGTAAAAAATAATCAAAATATTGAGGGGAGGAATATTTTTTTTATCTTTGCAGCTAAATATTTTTGAAGACGGGTTTTTGTTTTTTAAATAATTTATGGACCTGTTTTTTTAACAAGTTCACTTTTTAGTTCTGGAAGACATCATCTACTATGTTTTTTGTAACTTAATATTTTTTTAACGTATTACATAATGCAAATTTGAAGTTGCAAATTACTTACATCCATACAATTATTGATGTTATTAGTGATCTTGACATCAACCTCCACTGTTTCTCCGACCTTCAACGCAGGAGGGAGTGAGAAGTCCAGCTGTATAGGTCGGAAGACGTTGATCGTACGCGGGGCTGAGAAGCGAAGACCACGGTTGGAGAGGGAGAGGGCCCAGAGTGACCAGCGGCCTGCTTCAGATGGTGCTGATATTGTTACTCCGTCAGTGGATAGTTGGTTTCTGGAAATGAAAATATGATATTAGTAAAAAGATAGAATGATGCGAGGCGTAAAAACCCAAAATGGCGATCCATGCCTGTGCGGCTTCAATAGTCAGGTAGATAACCAAATAATCACTCCAACTAGTCGCATACATCAATGCCTTTCTAGAATAGCGGTCTATTTCAATATCAATTACTTGATCAAGTAAATAGTTTAAATACAACTGCAGTATGACTGAAATGCAAAGCCGTCGAGTCGAATTTTGTTTTTAAATAGTATAATGAGTATTTTGTGTGTAGTATGAATGTACCTATTTACAGATCGCACGAGTGTCTCAAATTCTCTTCATCATCTTCATATATTAAGGGTTTTCAACCACTTAGATATTATGTTCTTGCAATCATAAGTGTTTTTATGTCTACAGTGGCAATTTGAAATGTCGAAAGGTATGTTTTGTCGTAATGGAAAATGTCGCTTACGATATTTCAGAATTCGATAGGTACATCGACGAAATTATGAACCTTATGTCGACAGTGGAAGTTTGAAATGTCCAAATAGACATTTTGTCGTAAGGTCATTTTCCCTTATGACAAAATGTCCCTTACGACATTTCATATTTACACCATTATGTGTAATTCTTTATTGAATGGCCGTATTCAAGTATTTTTTAGTATAAAACTGGTCGTAAGATGTCAAGGGTTAGGTTCCTTATGGTCACATCACATAAATATAATATAGGTAACCTTAATTTAGAAATTACGTATATTTGTCAATACTTAGTAGCATTACCTCTCGCTAACGACCAATGAAAACGTCGTGATGAAACCTGTATATGGAAGAACCTTTTAAAAAGCTTCTTTGGAAAAAGTGTGAAACCTTTAGGCTCACTTGGTTACTGATATGAAAATGGCGCCTGTGAATGTTTTCGTTGTTTTTCATAGTTTGTTCTAAAATTTGCTTGTAGTAATAGCAACGTTTGTTGTTGTCACCTCAGGAATGATAAATTGTTGTGATTATTACTATAATTCCCTAACAACAACGAGCACAACAGCAAAAATTCATTTTTTAAGAAAATTTAAAACAAGATATCAAAAACAACGAGAAAATCTTTAAGTGCCATTTTTGCAAAACTATTGTTGATACGTTATCGCTTATCAGAATCCAATTTACACTTCTGCAGAAAGGAATGGAAGCAAAGTTTTGTACTTGTAAATAAACATTATGTCAACTATGTAACGTACAAAGTAGACACGAGTCGAAAAACAGGTCTTCGCGTCTTCCATACAATTATCGTGTATTGTTGGGAAATCTCGGAACTACAGTATCGTATCTAATTTGTACAATTGACATAAGTTCATTATGCTATGTAAAATTTTGTTCCAAATATATACTTCCATTCCGCTGTAATGTAAATTGAGCCTCAAAGAATACCAGTAGGGACACGAATAATCAGATGTACATTACAAATTCTCGAACAAATTTCTAAATAAGGTACAAAAAACGACTTTTATTTATAATCATCCCATAATTACATGGAACATTTTTATATAATCTCAAAACCGTCGTAATAATCTTGATTGTACGTCCGGATCTTCCTCCCAGGAGCATAGTCAATATCGCACATCGAATATGAAGAGCTCTCAGTTCTCTCCTTTGGGAGCTTAAGATATCCAATGTCAAATTAGGTCCGAGCCAGATGTATTATAAGAGATATTTGCAGTAGCAGTAGAGCTCCTTGTGCACGAGTTTGTCCAGGAGAACGTTCCGGTTTAGATCTTATGGTGACAGGCACAGTGGCAGTGATCCTTGCGATTAAAAGCTCTAAGTGGCACTGCAACTGTTATGGATAGGCGTGTCGCTTTCCAACGGGCGCACGACTTGTTCATCTCGTCACTTGATATTATAGAAAAAAAGAACACAAATACAAATAACGTAAAAACACACCACATTTTATTATGGTCCTTTGTAAATTATTTAAATTATTGTTTTAAATTAGCCACACAGTAAGTAAGGTTTATATAGTAACTGACAAATTGTACCATTGCCCGTTCAATTCCAATACTATGTTCAAAGGTACCGCCTGATAGATCTGTACAATCACACACGAACATTCCAAACGGAAGTCTGGCTTTGGCATTTAATTTTCTTTTCAATTCTTATATTTTTTGCTAGCAGTAAATCTTGCGATCACCCTGCCTGTATTTCGTAGCACATCGAACGTTTCAAAGTCAAGAATTCAATAGTATATTAGGTTTTTTCTTTTATATTTTATTTTTATTGAATATCATGGTGTTCTTTCTCCATTATCTTGGTCTATTTTTTGTGAAAATACACCACTAGTTTATTACTGATAGACTAGTTTATTATTGATAATTATGTAGATCAAAACAAACATGAAGAAAAATTCCTTAGATCAAACTATATTCGAACCAGCGCCTGTTGCTTCCACGTGGCTACGATTATTCTTTTTATTCTACCGGTTTCAATTTTTATTTATGATGTGAAGATGTCAATTGCAACATACTTTTTGTCTGGTGATTATGAATCTCGTGTATTACAACAGTATTTTTTTCTTTGTTAAACGTTATATTGGTAAAATATTTCTGGCATGTAATAAGATTTAAATTCGATATCATTGGAGATGGGGTAGCCTAGTGGGAGATCAACTGCTTCTGAACTGAAATATTTAGGCTTAACTTACACTGGCGCAGAGTGGAAGCGTCGCGTAGCGTCCTGTTTTTCAAATACAAAAAGGCGAATGCGAAGAAGCATTCTGTATTTGCATAATACATATTTATACCTTAACATTGGGAAAATAGAGATGAATATGCTATAGGCGAAAAACATGACGCGTCGCGACGCTTCGACTCTGCGCCAGTGTGAGTTGAGTTGGCGATTTTTAGCAGCGATGCAAACACGATGCAGTATACACACGCGACTGCATAGATACAATCGCGTGATTGCATCGCTACAATTGAGATTTATAGGCGATAGCACCATGCAATCGCGCGTTTGTATCGATGCAGTGCTCGTTTGTATCGATACAGTCGCGCATTTGCATCGATGCAATCGCCTATAAATCGCAAGTGTAGCGATGCAGTCACGCTTTTGTATTGTACTACACATTCTTGTAATATGGCCACACCTGCAAATTACAACTTTTCTGGAGAAGTTTAAAGATTCTACGAACGAAATTAGTAACATTTTTATGCTGAAATAGGTGAGTTGTGAAATACATTTACATAATTTGTTTCATGTAATTTGTATTGTTTTTATAACTTTCATGTGATAAAAACTTTTGGTGTATGGTCACGTCATGTAGCTTTACACTTGAAAGGTGCGATTTTTTTAGTTACAGCAGTTAGTGAGGAGAATAATAATAAGAATAATAACGCACACGCTCATAACCCCGCACTAGGGAAACCCTGTGTCACGTGTGCCATGAACACACACAGATAATCACAAATTACACCCATACTCACGAGACAAATAAATGCAGGCCATACAAATATTTCTCCCAGCCCGTGAATCGAACGTGAGACCTCTGCGCGGCAGACCAGCATGGTAACCGTTCGGCCACTGAGGCAGTCAAAAGGCAGTGTTTGTTGAGCAGCAAACATCTCGCTAATAACGATAATATCGTGATGAACTGACCCTTACAATACATGTGAAGTCAACCATATCCACTTAAATCCTTTCCTTGGACGAAACCCGTGCCCGTCTGTGGGATATCTAACCGCTCAAGCGATGCGCTTTTCCTAACGTAAAATGGCGGCTATTTGGTTTCGCAAATTAGAAATGGATTCAGTTTAAATACAAGTCTTTATAAATAAAAATTATTATTCTGCATTGATAAATAAATACCTTACGTACTACCAACAAAAACATCTCAAATAAAATGCAGTAATACACCACAAATCCTGCACTTAAAAAGAACTAATGAAATTTTTGGTGTACTTGGATAAATAAAAAATAATATTCCGTTTGAGTGGTTCTAACGTTTACCATGAAATTACTCCTTAAAGTATAGTTTATAAACATTTATATTCAGGGTAAACTTAAAAAACGCTACATGCGATATGTTTTCAATAAATAAACACCGAAATCACCAGTCCAAACAATAACACACACGATTGTCGTGACGTAGTATTTTTGAAGTTGTTTATTTTTTTTAAATGACAGACCCGGGCATTAAAAACTTTATGATTTGCGAGAGTAGTTACCGAAATAGCAATTAAAATTAGTTCTTTTACGTGTTATAACTTCGATATCCGATAAATTGGTATAAAATCATCACCGGCACCTCTAGGTGTGGTATGCGTCTACGGCTGCATGTATCGCGTGAGCGGATAATGGGTTACGTCTAGTGGTTAGCGACATGCTTGTCCACGTCCGGCAGTGTCGCTTAAAGCTCTGAGGGGCAGTGGCAGTACTGCGCCCGTCACCCTGATCCATAAGTTGAAAACTCCCATGTGCATGTAATTCACTAGCACCCTTTAAAATTGAAACGCAGTAATCATTGCTCACATTACTACTTGGCAGCAGAAATAAGCAAGGTGGCAGTACTTCCCTAGAGGAACTCTTTCACAACCAGATCTACTGCTACGAAAACGTGCGTGCATGACTTATGGAAAAGTATAAGGCAGTCTTACGGGAGTTAGTTTATTGTATGGTCTGATGTCTGTTACCTAGAGTAACCAAGAAGAACCTAGAGTATTACTACAATGAAGCTTATATACTATTTGAAGTAACAACGAATGTGCTAAAATTTGCAATTCTGCAATATAATATATACAGTTACGCATGGAGTGTTCTAACTAATACAGGTAAAACAAACATAACATCTGAGGATGCTGAGGTAGCGTCTTTAACTCGTGCATATTAACGAACCTGAGTGTACAATATTATAGAAACCGATTAATATCATCTCTTCGCTAAAATTCTCAAGAAGCCAACAAAATATGGGGTATCCGTAAACCTTAACGTGTTTCATCAAAATAACATATTCCCTCACCCCAA